GCGATTCAAATCCTTTTGCAGCGGCGAGGTCAGGGAAGAGAACGTGTAGACTGTCTCTTCGCAAGCGGCACCGCATTCGTTGAAGACTGAAATTTTATTCATTTAATCAAAATAAATCAATTTAATTTAGCCATTGATTACCATCAATAGCTAAATTGAAAAAAGTCAAGTTTCATAAGTACAGTAAAATTAATGTACACATTAATAATGCCTTCTCCTAAAATTACAAAACTGATCAAATAAAAAAATTACTTAGGACGTTAATCACGTGCATTCTTGATGAATATTTATTTCGGAATGATAAGCAAGCCACCTTACTGATATTTAATAATAAAATATGAAGTGTTTCTGTTATATTGTTGTGCAGGCAATATAATTTCATAAAACATCAGTTCATCATCTCACATAATTCATTTACATGTTTTTTTGCATACGAGGACATTAAAAACAGTCTTCTTTATATTCAACTCACAGTATGCACACTACAGAATTAAATTGCTGTAGCAACCATCAAGTTTGTTACTTGCCTGCTATAATAATGTATATTTTATTATTGTCATCATATGAAAATTTACGCTATTGTCATTTTTTCTCTTTCCTTCTTCGTTATTATGCTGATGAATTATAAATTTTTATTTCTAAATTTAGGTTTACGTATTTTGCTCACGAATTTATTAAACTCAATTCATTCTATAATTCTTTTAAATATTTTTATTGAATATTTTTATTATTAGCAATAATTTTTTATCTTTAGAACTTTTATGCTCACAAGTTTAATTTTGAAATATTTATAATGATTATTACATCAATAATATACTATGACAATAATTATTGCTAATATATTCGCAGTTAGATAGCTAGGATTACTTCATATATTGCCAACACTACTTATATAAAACTACTTTAACTCATATCGTATCGACCAATACTATAAAATTCAGCAAATAATAATCGTTTGCACTGTGCTTATTTACACAACAATCGTTCTGTAACTCAGCTTACAGTCCTCCTGGCAGTCCTGCGACGTGTTCACGGCGGTCATCATCAAGTAGACGAGATCATCGATGTCGCAGAATCGATCGCTTCCTGCCAAAAACTCTTTCATTAAGAGTCGTCATGTTTCTGACGGTGTTCAAAGATATAAATGACGCGTGGAATACAGGTGCATCTTGCATGAGCACGAGCATTTACTATTTACAAGGAAATTCCCAAGTATCTCGTCAAGTTTCCCACAGTTCCGAAGCGAGTATGTGACAAGCATGTGGTTCCTAAGCTTCTTGATATGTGCCAAGTTACATTTACTATCTGTCCGTGAATGTGAACGGTGAATTCACAGGTAATTACTGATGATTTTCGTTTTTCATATTTCCACAAAGGGCAGACAACGAGCACGCAGTTCCTTGGCTTCTGGTCGGATCTTTATCTATCCATAGATAATTTACAACTACCTTCTCTGGTAGTTCACCGTTTAAGAAGGGGTAGGTGACCAGCACGCAGTTTATCAGCTTCTTGTGTTCTTTTTAACTATCCATAGATAATCTCCAAGTACCTTGTCTGGTCTCTCACCGTTCCAGAAGGGGTAGGTGACCAGCACGCAGTTCCTGAGCTTCTTGTGGTATTTTTAACTATCCATAGATTTGTCGTCAGACAGAATGTGGATCCGCAGTCCACCGTGTAGCACCGTAGCTCGGTTGTTCATGTAATCCCAGTCAAGAGCTGGAATTATTAATTAGCTTAACTAATTAATAGTGATTTCAACCAATAATTATTTTTAGTATCCAAATATTAGTACGTAAATATGGTCAGTTGAGGAGAGAACTAAATAATTGCAAACAGCAGGTACTCAATTTCGATCCAACGGCATTTAAATTTTATATTTATATTCTCAATCATCTTTGTCTCAAGCGGAAAAGAAATCTTATTAGTTACCTAAAAACTGGAAAACAACCTGACAAAAAAAGTGAGCGACTTTGCGTGTCATTCGTTATTGGGGAACGATGAATGCACTGAAAAGTTAAAATCCCTTCAAGCATCATTATGCATGCGTTTTATTGAATGATTAACGCTTTTTACATATTTTCACAATAAATAGTTCATCAAATGAGATTTATGGGATTAATTTTGCTACAAAAGAAATTTCGTCGATACCCTTATTTTATGAAATGAAATCAGTTCGGTAGAAAATTCAAGGTTGAATGTTCATTAGATTATTAATAGATTATATGCTTGAGTCTATGTAATGTTTTTCGGCATATAACACATTAATAGTTCATTTACAGCTATTTTGATGTCTGAATTTGAATTATATCAGGTATTTATTTATAAAATAGGCATTTTGACGTACATGAATTCCCGTTTCAAATACCTAGCTTGCATCCGGAATAGGATAAATGCTTACGCTCATCGAAACTGAAGACTGTAGAAACATGCTCTTATGCCCGGATTCAAATGAGAATTACTTTCAGAATTAATCAAAGTTAATATATCAAAATACTTTCAAAATTAATTAATTTCAATCTTCTTTTTTTTAACGTGCGCTTGCATGTACCCGGAACAATGATGTGCCGTCCACAGATAACATATCATTTAATTGTAAAGCTGAATTAAATTTCCATCGAGGTACGTGATATTGTATGCTATTTATTTATTTAAAGCTAAAATTCATTTTTCATTAAGCAACGTGCAATTTTATTGTATTTATTGCAACTGAATTTATCTTTCATCGAGGCAAATGCTATTTTATAATATTTGATTAAAGCTAAATTTATTTTTCATAGCCACGTGCTATTTTATACTCTTTATTTAGTTAAATCTGAATTTATGTTTCTCTAAGCCAGGTGCTATTTAATACAATTTATGCTCAAATATTCATGAAAGTGAGTATTTTTTATAGTCGTGGCACAAGCTTTAAGATGTTTACTCTAGCATAATCAAATATATTAGTAAAACGAACATTTAACTTCGGAAAGAGTTTGATATTTATTTCAACTGAGTCTTTTCGAGATATGAATGAGCGTATAAATTTGACACCTTTATACACTTAAACTAAACTCAAAGTTTGCTTAGTAATTTAGAAATGGATTATAGGGCAACAGCGAGGTCTTCTGATAAATAATTGAGCCAATCACAGGGATTTTGAAAAATTTAAATGATCCCAACCGTGAACAACGGATAAAAATATTGAAAACTCACAAAGCTGTTGCAAAGGAACGCGAAAGTTCATGCCAATCCCTGCTGACACCGCCTCTCTGTTCTGCAGAATCTTCCTCGATATCTCAAAGGTTAGCCTGCAAGTGAAACAAAACGATTTTAAAGAAAGTCTAAACCAAGCTGACACCGCCTCTCTGTTCTGCAGAATCTTCCTCGATATCTCAAAGGTTAGCCTGCAAGTGAAACAAAACGATTTTAACGAAAGTCTAAACCATTTAATTATCTTTTCTACCGGAAGACGCGTAATAAGGCATGATAAAATTTTCTCCAAAGTGGATATTGAATTAAAAAATATAACTCAGCACTCACTGCAGTGAGTGACAGAGAGCATATTTTCTCGTCGACGAAAACGCGAAGTCACGGACAGACGGACATGGCGATCACAATAATGCATTTTTTCCATAAATGAGAAAATGCGCTAAAAAGTGAATAAATTTATTCAGTAATCGATTGGAGCTGTTGCATGGATTAATCTCTTTATTTTATGTTCAACAAACTCGCCATAAATTCCAATGAATACGGCCGAGAACTTGCCATAAATTTCGATAAATAGTTCAGTTAACTCGTCCTGAAATCCGATAATCACATCTGTGAACTTTTCCTAAATCCCAATAAACATCTCCGTTAACTCACCCTAAGCTTCTGTTAAACATGTCATTGAACTCATGTTAATGTTCCGACATAAACGTCAATAAGCTTAACGCAGCGTTCAGAAAACATGTCAATGAACGTGCCCTAATGTTCCCGATAAATATATCCCTGAACACATTCCAATGTTCCGAGAAACATGTTAAAGAACTTACCCCAATGTACCGAGCACAGTAGTGAAGTGTTTCCCGCAGCACTCATGGCCCGTATAGAACTCGTGTTCAAACACGCAGTCTATGATGAGGTCCTCACATCTGCACTCAAAATAGCAATTGAGTACGTTAATTTGTTTAAATTGCTTTTAATATTTAAACTCATTATTTTGCTCTCGTACTCGACGAGTTAGCTACCTATAACTTTACCCTTAAGGCAAATATTTTGCCTTTGTGTCCTAAAAATCTTGCTGCAAACTTGAGAAATACAGACTGCTTCCAAAATCACGTAATCATGAAATATGACCCTATTTACAGCAGATTAATTACAATGAAATTCCAGAACAAAACATTACCAATCTCTGAGTGCCTTAAAATTTATGATTTAAAAGATTTACTTGTATGCGAGCTTCCACCAAATGTTTCTAGCCGTGGTGTTGAGGCGCTTGAGGAGCTCGTGATAGTCACGGTTGGCAGCTTCGACATTATTCAGCAGAGTGTCAGTGAAGGCGACCTTGCCAAGCATCACAGTTGAAACTAGCGAGGCTTCGTACAGGGAGACGTTGAATTCTGCGGAATTGTCACAACTTTCTCCACGTTCTTTCATTAAAGAACCTCGTTGTTAAACGTTCCATGCTACTGGTGTCTTTTTACATAAAAGAGAATTAAACTACTAGCGCTTAACTGTAGGCTTCTAATTTCCGGAGCATATATTATATTGTTCATTATTAGTGAATTCGACGTCTGACGTAAGTCGACCAGATTTTTTACATGTATTATACTCGAATATGATTTATAGAAATCCTTAATATTAATGCTTCTTGGAAGGATTAAAATATAATCTATTTACTGACCTTCTAGAGCGCTGTAGTTGAAGAAGCCCGCGTTGCTGATCATGAAGCGTGGTAAGTAGAGACCGTTCCTTGAATCTTGGATTACTTTAACCTGGAAGATAACTAATTAAGTTACGAACACATTTTGTGTGATCCATCCATCTTCAAAGTAAAACAATACTACTGCAGCTAGCATTATGGATGAAATTCTTACACATGCGATTACCATTCACAAATTCAGTATCAAGCTACTGATTTTTTTCTAAATAAAAATAAGTTGAATTTTTAGAAACGATTTCCTATTTTTTTCAAGTAACTTTTTTATTTCTCAGCATTTTTGATGAACAAAGTGTTCGTGACTTTCTAAAATCCTATGAAACAAAGTCCTTAAATAACTAGAGTAATGAAACCCAACATAGGAGCTCAGACATCCAACTCAGATATTATACATACTTCCTTATCACTCACAACGCCCTGGTAGAAGCAAGAATTTTTTGCGTCTACTTACGCTAAATTTAATACATTTTAGTGTCCACTTAGTTGACAAAATCTTCGGCTATCGAATTCACATTGATATAGCATCTTGAATTCACCACTTCAACTCACTTTACTCTCGTAGTACGTCGGATGCATCATATTCCGAATCTGAGTGAAGCCGAGAAACAGGCCAATGACCGAAAAAGCCACTGCAAGCACGATCAAAGCGCAGGACATTTTGCGGCTGAAATGCCACACTCTATTCGAGTGCCGGTAACCATGCGCCGACGTGAACCTAGTGAACGATGTCACAAGAGCCCAGGGAATATCCAACTTCTTGGTTGGAACTTGAACTTCTTGCGGTATCTGTAACAATTTTTACAGAAAAATAAGCAAAGTTTGCAGACAATTGTTGGTTCAACGTTTGCATGAGTTACATAACTCTTGAAGACGCTCGAAATCAGAATGAGAAATGTTAGAATGTTATGAATTAGAACATAACTTCGACTCCCGTTTCGATTTCAGTCTAAATTAGCATTCAATAACTTTCAAATAAGAATCTAGATGTGGTTCAGGAAAATGTTTGGAAGAATTCTTGAATTTTATAATCGAGCTATGCATGTGTACATCAAGATGCGATAGGACATGTGTGTTTATGAATATTGATTACATTTTCTCAATTTTAGTGCAATAATTCAACTGGAATTATCTCACTCGATTCCATCAACCTGCATTTATTTCGACTATATATTATCAACTATAGATATGAATGAATGCCTATACTTACCGCCAGGTCAGGGTCCTGTTCCAAAACTGTTCCTCCGCTTGAGTCGCTTTTCATATTCGATTCTGGAAGCCATGGGCTGATGTTGATGATGTTCTTTTTATTCAACATTATTTTTAAGAAAATCGTATTTCCCTACATATAATTGTTGATGAGTCATGGAGAAGAACCTACAAATGAATTTAGTTTGAGATCGATAAACAAAATTATAAAAAACAAGATTTTCGAGATCGCTAGCTTAAAATTGTTGAGAAAACAGTGCTGATTAACAGATGGTTCAGACATTCAGCATCTGAAACAAATACTATAAATCCTATACCAGTTGATGATAGGGCACTATATCGTAGCCTCTAGTAAGACTAGTAGTAGTCGGAGATGCTACCTTTGACTAGAATACTCTGTCAACTGCTTGCCAATACTAATATAGTTATAGCGGAATTTATAGGCAGTTTCTATTATCAGGTGATTACTCTTGAAGTACAATATGATCTAAATTCCCCACCAAGCACAGTCTTCAATGCTTCTCTCAAGGCTGCGCTAGGTCTAATGAGGTTGTAAAGTCTCGAGCTGAGACTATGAGTCAGTTTTTTTATAAGTTCTGATGATGTCTTTGTTTGTGGTCTAAGTCAAATCAGACATCGATTGCTATCACAAAGAAGAAATTATCTTACTTCGTTTGGATACAATAACAGTGACCCGAATAAGTAGATATTATTCCGCCTCTTGGAACGCGGTTGAACTAATTTTTATCGGCCATCGTAACAGGTGCTAATTATCAAAGATTTTAGCATTTTCCTTGTGAATTTTGCATACAAATCCTCAATTCAATCAATTGAACGATATGTGATAACCTATCCAAAAGGACTTTTTATTTACTTTTCATTTGAGTTTGCGATAAATTATTGTGAGTGTGACTGATGAATTTATTCATTTTGTAAAAATTACTCCCATAGCCGTTACGTACATTCGGAATTGCTCTGATGGAAGAAATCAAAAACAGCGATCGTTGCTCAATAAGAAGGAGAACAGCGGGTGTTTTAGAGCTAGTGAGCGGCTCGTTGAATTAAGTGTTGATGTTATGGTCGTTGGGTGTAAGTGAAACCTATTTTCCCTGCTTAGATGACGAATTGCTATATTTTATCGCCCATCCAACAGGCCGAATAGCTCTAATGCGCCTGACCGATGAGTTGCAGCTGATGAATAGCTCATTACAGTTCTCATTTCCACCATATCTTACGACGAAAATATTTTTGCCTTAAGGGGGAAGTATACCCTAAAATTTTCGGATTTATCTTCTCTGGTATTTAGTATCGTCTTAAAGCTGACATTCTGCCCTATCCAATGATACCACTGGGATCCCTGTACGTGAATTTTTACTTACATGACGGCTCTTTAAAGGGGGGCGGGTGGGGGAGTTCCTTTACCTATGTGTACCAAATTTCAGAGTGATCCGTCCGTAAACAAAAAAGTTTTTCCGGAGGGTATACCTCCCCCTTTAGCTTTGTTCAAGGCATAAATCTATTGATAGTACAGGGTGAACCAGAATTAAGTAACCCTTTTAATTTGTTAATAAATAAAAAACTAAGAACGTTATGAAGTTGAAACTTGCTTTATTTAAAAGAAGAACATTTTTATGGTAATATTGTATCATAGTTACGTCATTATCCTGTATAGCTTGCTAAATTTGTGTTTAATTAGCAAGCCTTAAATTTTCATCATGATTCGCTACAGCAAAGAAGAAAGAACGAAAATCCTGTAAACCTACATCAGGACGATGTCAATAACAGAAGTTCAACGTGATTACAGGATCCATTTCAAAACAATAATCAGTCCTTCAAAAAAAAACAATTAAATCTCTTTATCGAAAATTTGCGGATACCGGGAAATTACTAATGAAGGTTATGAAAGCAACGAAGAGAAGAGCCCTATTTTGTTAAAACAATTGTGGTGGGCATTTAAAATATATTATATTTAAAAACTAGGATACAATATTACCATAAAAATGTTCTTCTTTTAAATAAAACAAGTTTCAACTTCATAACGTTCTTAGTTTTTTATTTATTGACAAATTAAAAGGGTTACTTAATTCTGGTTCACCCTGTATTATAGTCACTTCCAATTCAATCGCTGCAATTTAGGCTTTATTTCATTTAAATTTTTGATCTGTGAATTTTATTTCAAAAACTTTTGGTTTTAATTATATTAATTTCAAGCCGATCAAGGAACTAACGACTCTGCTGACATATTAATGGTAGCTTTTTCTTTTCTACTATAAATATGAAAAGATTTCAGCGGCCGAGAATTTCAGTGTGGAAAATAAGCATTTTGTTCATCAATATTATCATCTTACTATGCAATTCATCAATATTCACTGCCAACATCATCCATATGCACTGCTATTCTATTCTCCTCAATGAAACCTCGTGAGTGTCCTAATCAATCTAGACCATTACTATAAAAACGGGATTTTCAAATGATGCAATTGTGCATAAATAGTAAAAATTGTAAATAAAAAAAATAATGCATGACACTTATTAGTGTGTTTCTCTATTCTAAACTTTTCCAGCTTCGAATTCCCACACCAGATTCAAGCTCATTAGATTCTACCACAATTAGATTATCATCGAAAGTTCCAGATTTGTGTACTTGAAAACAAGCGAATTGCTTTGGACTACAGGTTCTATACTTCAGATTTGAGTGCTACATGAAATTACTAAAATGATTTTTTACATTGTCCACTAACAGACCATATAAGCAGTAATTTTTCAACAAAATACATGTACAAAATTTAATATTATGTAACGGCGTAATTTACTCACAAAAAAATGGTATAAAAATAATCGACACAACATACCCTTCATCAGCAAGATCGTCACAATACATCAATGACAAAACGCGCGTCGTTTTTTCACAATAAAATAGCATCCAACATGGTTGAATACTGAAAATGAGAAAATCAAATATTCTAAAACCCATGACATGACAACTCATTCGGAAAAAGACACAAATTTTACAGTATGTACAGATATAAATCATTACCAGTAGTAATGATATTTAGTACTGATATCCTAACTATATAAATTACATTACATTATATCGTGAGCGATGCAGGGTTAGCCAGCTAACATGCTATGAAATCCTGCTCAATTCAGGACAATATCGTCTAGTTTTGCCTCCTTATTTCTAGACAATATCGTCTAGTTTTGCCTCCTTATTTCTAGACAATATCGTCTAGTTTGCCTCCCTTATTTATTAAATTTCGCATTACGAAATTTCTGCTGAAAACAACTATTATAATTTATGATTGTCACATTACCCGTTGAACTGATGCTTTTGGTCGCAGAAATAATTAATATTTACATTATTTATTTCATTAAAAAATTAATACGAGGCAATTGTTATTTAGATGTCAAAGATTATTCAGGTTGCAATGTTAGGATATTCTGCAGGTGCATGAGTGAATTATTTTACAGCAGAAAATTTGTGCCAAATATATCAGCCTTTAAAAATGAGTTTCTTTCCAATGTATTCTAAGTTTACTTTGAGTGTCATTATAGCCTATAAACCCGAAAATGGGCTCCTATTTACTTATAACATTACTTTTTATACGATTATGTAAATGTGACAATAAAGCTATGAGTCGAGAAGTGAAGAACGGACTGATATGATATATCACTCATAACTAATCTTTTGACGATGAAATTTTTTTACATGAATTTGTCAACTGCCCCTAAAATCAATTTTTCTGCTGGGTGTGACCAAGGTTTCGACATTTTATCCTGAATCCTATAACTAATCATTAACAGTCTATAAATTAACATTCATTTTTTATTTCTAGCAGATACTACCAATTTAGCCCCTACTTTAGGTTGTAATTTTTTTTAGATTTGTATCTTCTATAAGGAGGAGCCTCAAAACTTGATTCTATTTTAAACTGCGATCTTAGATATGAACATATGAATAGGTTACTCAGTAAAACAACGATTTAAACTCAATTATTTTTCGTCCTACAGTAATTTTGTTTGATTACAGTAATTGATTATAATATGGCTGGATTGCCATACTATAATCACTAACGATAATATTGTTGTTGTCAGTCACAGCTCTCACGTACAAATGTCAATGAGAAAAGTTAATGAGAATAGCGATCATATAACTTGAGGATGAGTTTGGTTATAGTCATACTTAATAGAGATTAGAAGGGGTAATGAGGCTGAGATTTCAGATTAAGAGATAAACCTCTACCTGTTATAGATATACGTCTGAGATATAAACTGAGTATATGGAAATACGTCAGAAGCATTGAGCAAACTGAGCATATCCGCTCTCTGTTCTCTGCTCAAGACTGAAGTTTTCGGCGAGCTACAGGCCTTTTATAGGCGTGACCTAGCTGACGTCACTAAGACGTGAGTCACTACCGTGTAAATAAGGAAGTGGGCATAAATAAGAAAGTTTCCATGGTGGTGTTATCCAAGTATGGAAGTTTCCAAGAACATAGCTAAGTTCAAATGGTAGTAAGAATTTTTTAGCAATTATCACATAACAACAATAACGTGATGTCTAGTTGTACTTTAGAAGTACCCGAAGTTCGTGTGCTTAGCCGTCCAGAGATGCATGCACAGGAGTCGATTATATAGTCTACGGTATTTCATACCAAGATTTAAGTATCTTATCTGCACACTCCAATATCAATGAGAATCGTTTAAGTAAAATTTTATTTTTATTCTTTTTTTGTTCCTTCAACTAAATCAAAATGAATACAGAGCTTAACATTCTGAACGATAGGAAGAACATTTATTCCTATTTCAATAATTTTGAAAATATTTTGATTCACAGGTGTCGTTTACTGCCTCACATTTATGTTATTTATGCGCTGATTAAGGAGCTGATGTCAGAAAGGGTTGCAATTTATTTTCTTCTTGTGCTTTTAACAAAATAATCGATACCGGAGTACTCAATAAAATAATGGATAGCGGAGTATCCTACATGTGGTGAGGGTTTCAGCATGCATTACGTTTCAGCCCCTAATTCAAGCATTATATCCGTGTTGATGGTGTTAGCCACAATTAATAATAACAGGTTCCCGACTTTTAGACTACAAACCGAAGTGTTCACGTGTTTGTCTTCAGACTGGAGACTCGAGATTCGACAACATAGACTTAAGGCATTTAGACATTACCAAATGCGTCTTTTTAAACCGTTTACTAATAGACCGGATATAAGGAAAATTTATCATGAAATACTTACGTATTAATTATTAATATTAAGCGCACATGAACACCCAAATAATATACATTGAAAGCAATAGGTAACACTTTACCACTATCCAGAAGGCCAACATGATGATGAAAATAGCACAAGAAAGTTCGAAGTTGCAGCATAGGTAATCGAAAAGTGAGAAATTACAGAATAATTAATTCGAAACCTTGAGCTTATATATTGCAAGCAGTGGGGATTAATGTTGATTAATGTTGATTAATATCAAAAGCGGCGATGGGTTAGCCTGGTAGCAAATTATATATTAATAGAATACTGTGCTTTGCTTATTTTTAAAAAATTCAGGACAAGGTATTGTGCTACGAAACTTTTGTGAAAAACATAGATTATTATAAATAAATGACTATTTAACAAAACTGATATGATTGCCACTTTAAACGATGTACTGACTGCTCTGTTAACAAGCAAAATTTAGATTTTGCAAACCAGATGATTTTATCGTGATTTATTGCATGATTTATCTAATTAAGTTTAATAATTGTTTCCATTATATAAATTGTTATTATCATTAAAAAATTTAACCATAACATTTATTTCAAGTAGGAAAATTAATACGAATCAATTGTCACTTAATTGGATGTCACGGGCAATATTGGTTCCAATGATTTTAAACCTTGGAGGTACATGAATAATGCTTTAGCATTTAATTCATCCAACTACATTGGCATTTAAGAATTTTTGTTTAACTATTTGAAGCATTTTTTGGTTTTTCAGTTCATGAAGCTAAAGCTGAGTTTTTGAAGCTGAGCGAGCTGAGTTATTGAAAAATATATCGTTATAAATTAATTCTTGTAACTTTCGAATTTGGCTATGCCTCAAAAAGTAGAACGGCTTGACTGCTACGGCTGCTGTGACGCCATACGGCTAATCTACGCTAACCTAGTGGCGTCACATTCAAAGCATATTTAACATAGAATATAACACTAGTTGCGTGCTTCTCTGGCCAGAGATTCTTCTTGCACTAATAACTAATAAAAGTCTACGATTAACCCATTCAATATTTAAGTTTCTAAAAGTGTTATTCCTCATAAAATAGAGGTTATTTTCCTCTATTAATTTTTACTTAATTATTAACTTTTTTGACTCACTAGGCCATCTAAAATAATTCAAGTTGTGTAAAGAATATTTTTCGATGTTGTTTGCTATAATCGCCAAATTAAAATAATATAAATTAATTTTCATCTCAGGCGCTATGCATATGAGCCACTGACATCACTAATATCAGGTGGGCACAAACTATTTAGGAAATCCAACGCATATTCCAAGTTTAAATGTATTATATACCCCTGTTCTCATTTATACGTTTTTCTTAATTTAAAAATTAGAAGTAAACATGTTTTTGAGAAGCTATGAGCGGATAACAATAATATTACTATAATACGGATAATATAATATATATGGATAATGTATAATATAATAATATAATAAAATAGGGAAAACAGTAATATTGCGCTGTATTTTGTAAAATATTAGTATTCATCAGAAATTAATATAATTCGAAGTGACGTACGTATAGTCGGTATAGATCCTTAAAAATTCAGGTCGTGTGCTTCGCAGTTTTCTTGGTGAATTTGTGCAGGTGCGCAGATGGAAGCATAAAAAATTTTGTTGCGGAATATATGAATTATAACCACTTATTGACTCTTATGTAATTAAAATGAAAGAATATCAGCGTATATAATTCGTCTAAAACATGACGCAATTGCGCTGTTTCAATATACTTGAAAGTAAGTTTAGTTTTGGATTCCTTAATTAATACCCAAGGCATAAATGGAACAGGTGCCGACATACATGTAACAGTATTGAAAGTTTCTCGGTAGTGTCAAGCCATAAGTAAGATCGGTCATCTGAATGTGAAAACTTTGAGTACAGTAGAATTTGGGATTGTATACGATAGATACATCGAGTTCCTTTGCAATAACTAGTTTATGTTATGTTTTCAATTACTCTTTAATTTTGATAGAATTTTTAAAGCATTTGCAGATGTGCGTCAGACGTGCTTTGACAGTTGTAACAAATTTGGTTCCAACTGTCATCATCATGGTTCACTCCTGAATTACAGAACTCATCACACAGTAATCATAAAGCCGCGATGTGATGAATATCATGACGGCGAGCAACACGATGATGAACTCCGAGAAGGTGATGAGGGAGGCGCCCGTGAACAAGCCTATTTGTCCACCTAGGGAACCTGTTCACAATAACATTCACTGTGAATTCAATTGATAATAATACAACTAATCAATGCTAATTAAAAGAAGACATATGTTAACATCATTTCAAAGTTAAATTAAATCCAATTATTCCGTAATTTGGTGTTCATAAAACAGTAATTTGAGAACTTCAGAAACATTCCATCTATTATCAAACGCACGGAAATAACAAATTTTCTACTTCATACAAAAGTATGGTAGATCAATATAAGGAGTGCCCGTTATCCCTGCGATTTTGAAAAAAATAACTAATGACAGTCTTTTACCAAAACGAGTAACGGCCAACCTTCTTTTCTGTCGTCCCTTTTTGGATCAAATATTTTAATCCCGCTATCCCGAATCCCGTTAATGACTATATAGCTAATCTATGCTAACTTAGTGAAGTCGCATCAAACATGTATAACATAGAATATAAAACTTGTATTCTACTATATTGTCAATATGTGCAGCTTTGTTATAATTTACTATTCTCCCGCAAGGAATAAATTTAAAGCTAGTTAATATTCGATACGAATAATATTGTGGATGCGCACTCGAATGGCCCCTATATATTTGTAGTGCAGATAAAGACTAATTTGACATAAATATATTCATAAGATTTTTGACGCGTTTAGTGCTTGTTTATTTGTACTCTGTTGGTGGAGTTACACAGAGGGCTGCACGGGCGTGCATCAACGTTACTCATTTTAAATCTCACCTCTATAGAAAGCGGAGTGAGATTGTTAAAAAATGTGACTGCTGGGTCAGTTAAATAAAAATTTAGTTAATAAATTATAAATTCATTCTTCCGAAAAGAAATTTCGGTACAAAACTTTTAATATGAGTTTTGCACTAAATACGGGCTTGAGTGAGTCTCTCCAATTTACGTATTTTTTATTTGAAACTATTTACTATACTCGGGATGACTGGGTTTGGATGATCTGATTCTTAAATTGTAAAGATAATTATAATCTATACCCAGCAACACCAGGTTAACCAGCTATACCCAGCAGCACCAGGCTAACCAGATAACTTTATATAAAACTTCTATGCAATTAGCGCATTAGCAAGTACGTAATTCCTAGTAGCACAGAATACTAAACTGTTGTTTCATAACCGCTGGCCTAGTTTGAAGGTCCTCGTAAGCCTATTTCATAAGCCTGAACAGCTGAGAGGTGAAAAACAGTAACTCTTTAATTTCCCATTCAATATTATCATAGTACAATATGAAATATCTTCAAAAGCCAGTAGCGTTCCCTGTGTGAGTTTTTAAGTAAAATATTTCTGGATAATTGTATTGAAAATAATCACACAAAAAATGAATAACTTACTAAGCAAGATCATGAGGTCTGGCCGCGACTGAGAGAAGAGCGTGTAGCTGAGCTTCGTGTAGAACATCGTGAACGCGCCCTGCACGTACCAGCTGAAACCAGAAAAAAATTATATAAGGTTAAGGAGCTTTTGTTAGTCGTTTTAAGCCACTGAGTTGCCATTACTTTATTAATTGATCTATGGAAGATAACAAAGCAAAGTCACCTACTTCTCTTCATGGAGAACCATTATGCAACATTTATTTTTGACCAAATGTTTTTTGACGAAAAAGAATTAAATATTGCAAAATTTCAACTCCTGATAGCATCTAAAATAAATTGATGAATTAGAAAAGAAAATGCAAATCTTGGCAGTGAGACTCGCCTGTCGTTTCGCGGTTTCTCGAGTTGGTACGTCAGGACTGTGTTCTGTGTGGAGTATGTGTAGACTGTCTCTTCGCATGCGGCCCCGCATTCGTTGAAAACTGAAATTTACGCGTAAGAGGCAAGAAAAAACAGGAAAAAAGTTTATGTTTGCTCACCTACGCCTTTTTTTAATTTTTGTAACATTTCTTGAGCGGATCAGAAAAATGTTTGCCCGGTGATTTCTGTAATTCACGCAAAATAATATAAACAAAATTTTATAGATCGATTCTGTTTCTGCATTTATGTTCCATGATGAATACACCCAAATGTACTTTATTGTGATTATCCTGCCCCTTTGTACGTTTCATAAATGTTGTGGCGAAAATTTTACATCAGCAAAATTTTATCTTTTTTATTCTAAAATCCATTCGAATTTTCTAATCAAAACTATAACGTATTGGCATATTCCATGCGACCATAGAGCTGTATGTTCTCTTGAAATTTGTTCAGTTACTATAAACAAAAAAATTGGATATCAATAATAATGGATTATTATTACCTTGAATTAATTATTGATAAGAAAACTTGTCAATGACATAGACATCTATTCGTAACAGCGCGAACAAGCATCTGTAAAAAAAATCAAAATAATGGATTCGTTGGAGGTGTAGATATAAATCTTCACAATTTTTTCCGGAAATCTGATAATTTTTTCATCATTTGACTTCATTAGCATTTTTACGACGCCTGGCATAGGCTAAATAAGATGTAGAGAATTATTGGACTAAATTTATCCCTGTATAGTTTGAAATATATTCACTATGAAAACAATCATGCTCGCAATCAACGTAACATATTGCATGGTATTTTGTAATTCCTCCTTGTGTATTCAGTTTTTCTCTTCTGCAGTCTGAAAATTGAAGGAAAAGTTGCAATTATAGGTATATACTATGATTAAAATATTTTCGTATCTAAAGTCGCACCATTATTGTAATTTTAATTTTCTTAATATGATTATCATAAGAATGAGCAAAGTGACAATCATGTTATAGTTCAGAAAACTTTTTATTTGAAATTGTACGTTGCTACAGCAAACATTCGTAACTCCGCTCACAGTTCTGTTGGCACTCCTGCGAAGCGTTGACGCCAGTCTCCATCAAGTAGACGTGATCATCGATATCACAAAATCGATCTTTTCCTGCAACGAACAATTTTTTGTGCACTGTTTAATTCCAAGATCAAATGAAATTACTTGAAAAAAATGTATTTTTCGTAGTGCTTTTGCAGTGCAGATATAATCAGAATTTTTCAATTATTATATATCAATTATTACTTACTTATTATTTCTCAATAATTGCTGTTGTTCAATTATTTTACTCTGTTTATAATCAGACAGGAACTTATTTTCTATTATTCGCTTCTGCTTGGTAGTAGGTCTTGAACCATATACCAATGACCGAGCACAAATATATTTTACGTATGAAATTACCAGTCTCTCGCAGTTTCTGAATAGGTAAATGAACAGCACACAGTTCCTGAGCTTCTTGTGGTATTTTTAACTATCCATAGATAATTTCCATGTACCTTGTCTATATAGTCTCTCACCGTTCTAGAAGGGGTAGGTGACCAGCACGCAGTTCCTGAGCTTCTTGTGGTACTTTCTACTATCCATAGATAATTTCCAAGTAACTTGTCTAGTCTCTCACCGTTCCAGAAGGGGTAGGTGACCAGCACGCAGTTCCTGAGCTTCTTGTGGAAATTTTAACTATCCATAGATAATTTCCAAGTACCTTGTCTGGTCTCTCACCGTTCCAAAAGGGGTAGGTGACCAGCACGCAGTTCCTGAGCTTCTTGTGGTATTTTTAACTATCCATAGATAATTTCCAAGTACCTCTTCTAGTCTCTCACCGTTCCAGAAGGGGTAGGTGACCAGCACGCAGTTCCTGAGCTTCTTGTGGTATTTTTAACTATCCATAGATAATTTCCAAGTACCTTGTCTGGTCTCTCACCGTTCCAGAAGGGGTAGGTGACCAGCACGCATCTTGGTGCACTTGTGGACGCTGGCGGCGTGGCAGTTCTGACCAACGACGGCGCGCTCTTCGTACGGCGCGTGGCTGGGGGTGCACGACAGCGAGCTGTCCCACCACGGCACGATGCTCTGATGCAGGCCTGTGTTGTCGATCTGATAGGATTAGATTTCAACAACATTTCATATTACTCTGATGAGCTATTTTCTCATGAAACAAATCGAATTGTGAGACATTGGCCTGTATGCTAAATAGGGCACTAGCACTACGAAGTAGCACTATGCACTACGAAGTGTCCTGTTGGCATGCTAAATACGTCACAGATACTAAGCACTTCGAAGTAGCTCTACAATGTTTAGTGTCGCTTAGTGTCGCACTACTGATTCGTGTGCAGAAAGACTTTGAAGTGCTACTTCGCTGTTAGAGTACTTTATAGTGCCGCACTACGCTATGAGTCTATTGAAGAATAGTAGTTAAGTGCTCAAATAATTAATCATTCCCTAAGTAATTCTTATTCTTTGCAGAAGATTGATGTAAAATGTTTAATTGTGATGGTAATGGTACTAATGAAAATTGTGATGGTGAGCTGAAATTCGCAATGCGTCTGCGCACCTTTCCCATCACATATTCAAAGTCCACGCTTACCAAAGACATAGAACAAAAGAGAGAAGCATGGAAAGTTCTTGCAGAAGAATTCAAAATGACTCCAGAAAAAATAATAAAAATAAAATTCAAAACATGGTCTCAAAAACAAGAAAAGTATTTTTTACTTCTACGCTGTTCATCTATTTCGCCAAGGAAAATGTCAGCCATAAGAATAACATGTTGTTCACTGAAGCGGTACACTTTTTTATATTCATGGCATGCTGTTCCTGAGGTTTTTACGCGATGATGCCTTTGCTGTAAGCCAAACAGATCCATAGCTGACGAAGTAAACAAGGTTAAATACACCGTAGTGTCGTCGTGAAGTGCGGTGGGTAGGACACTTTAAATTTTTGTAGTGCGCGTTATGCTTTTGGCCCTATTTAGCATACCAACCGTAGTGTTCCATGCCGCACTATGGCTTGTAGTGCGTAGTGCTACTTCAAAGTGCTAGTGCCCTATTTAGCATGCCAACCGTAGTGTTCCATGTCGCACTACTACCGCACTACGGCTTGTAGTGCGTAGTGCTACTTCGTAGTGCTAGTGCCCCATTTAGCATGCGGGCCAATCTCATCATGCAGGAAGAAGGCAAGTCTGCACTCAGCACAACAGTTAGGGAGTGATTCATTTACTGACCAGGTGCCATATTCTCATCAGTTCCGAAATTTGTAGCAGGAGTTACGTTATTCAATTTCACTTTCCCATCGTTGATTGGCACTTGGCAGGCTCAGCTTGAATAATTGTCAGTTATATACTAACTTGATTTAGGCTTTTATTCATTTATGATAACCCGCCTCTTCATTTATTTCTTTGCATTGTTCAACGATTCGGTGCGTTAGAATTTAATCATATTTCAGCATTCGGCATGATTTATTTTCGATGCAAGTAACTTCAAAGTTTATCCAAACAATTATTCAATAAATTTTTATCTATTCTATTCTAATTTTTTACTAGTAACCGTGATGGATCCATCGAATACTTTAAAACCCAAAATGTACAATCTTCGTACAAGTAACGTCTTCTATGAAAATGTACAAATATTGATATTATTTTTGATTAAGGCATATATTTTCTCAGAAATTTATTCTTATTCAAGCTATCCTAAGTTTAAAAATAAGGATAAAATAATATGAGATAAAAAATAAAGATACATTTTATTTCTGACTCAATTTGATACAACTTACTTTGGTGTAGGAAACAGCCACCATGGCGCGTTCACCTGTCGTTACAGACACCAGCGAGGACACTTCAGAGTCATAGCCTTTGTCGTCAGATAAAATGTTGATCCGCAGTCCACTCTGTAGCACTGTTGCTCGGTAGTTCATGTTATCCCAGTCTAGAGCTGGAAACCGAGAAAATTTCATCGTCTGTATCATGTATAACTTTCAATAATGGCGTCAACGATGAGTACATTCATTATAAATAACTGAACAAAAAATAAATAACATTCATAGAACCCCGGCATCATGAAGAAATTTCTTTCTTCGGCATATAAATGATTATACTCTCCCCATACCATCGCTTATTTAGTCTCTAAAAGAGTCTTAAATCTTATGATTTTATGATGCTGATTTTTGTTGAGAACTTTAGATAATATTGCGGCCACATTAATTCAAGTTTTTTAGGTCCAAAAATGTTTTGTGCTAGATAGAAAATATTATTTACTGGTCGTAGGGAACTATTATTCTTAAAATCGAATTCTGTGAAAGCATAATTTGTCTCTAAAAATATATTATGTAAGATGAAAATTTTTTAAACGGACAGAGACAAACAAAATTATCTCGGGAACTTAATTCGGATTTTGATCAACAGGAACCCGGACTTAATAAATACAAGCAAATTATTGTGTATACCTTCGTTGTAATTTACTAATATATATTGCGACGTCTTGAACCACAATATAATTACGTAGAATAAGCTTATTTAGAATGCAGAGGAATATGCTTATTTAGAATACAATTTAATTTTGAAAAATATGCTTATTTAGATTGCAGAATGCTTGAACCACAGTTTAATTATGTAGAATATGCCTTTTTAGAATGCAGACGGCCGCATCTTGATACATAATAAAAAATTTCATGACAAGTACCCTTCGTTAGCCCGTTTCTCGGAGAACAAAGAAAAGTGCAAATTTACTCTGACACAATAGCAAGGCCATCACCTAAATTGCATCTTGTTCCATAAAGAACGGATCCACTTATATCTGGTTTTGTGCGCTCTGATGACGCAAATCTCTTCAAAGAAAGGAATTATCATTGAGGATTTAAAAGCAAAGCGGACGACGGCACTGGATTTCAATAGCATAATTGGATAATTCCAACGGTCCAGTATTCTTTGTCTTTTGGTACTCTATGAGAAACCAAACAATAAAATGTTATAACTTATTATTTTCACTTTTTTTTCTTTTTCAATGACCTACAGAGCACTTGAATATGGTTTTGCATTTGAAAATTTATATTTTATTTAAATTCTGTAGTAAGCAGTTTTAAAAGACATAATAAAAATGTTGCGGACTATTCGAGGTCCGCAAAGGCGCAATTATCAACTTTCATGATAAATTGAATAAGTGTGTCATACAGGGTTTTTTACTTTCGGTATCCCACAGACAATACGGTTTCTGAAAGGAAATCGGTAAATATACAGTATCTATTTACACAATGCAAATATTAAATTGCTCAGTAATAATCATATTTATGAAGGTCACAAATACTTACTTACAAAAGACACAGTCGCATCTTCGAACACGAAAGTTGAGTTTACTATGATTTGTTCCTGATCGTATAGGTTGGTTGTCGACTCTATGGCTGACTCGTACGAATGAAACAAAGATTTGGCAAAACCTCGCCAAACTAAGCTTCGAAAGTAAAGCAAATATTGCGTTCAAAATAACCAATAACATACGTTTGGCGACGCGGATTTTTATAGCGTATGGTACCTGTAGTGAATTAAATGCGTATACATAATTTCAACTCACATAATGGTTTCACAGGTACGCGAAGGTCCAGGCTGAGTCCAGCAGCTACGGCCTCCCTGTCCTGCAGAATTTTGTTCTTCGTCACAAACGTTAGCCTGCGAGTAAAAAGAGGAGAGCTTTGAAATGAGGAACAGCAATCCATTACCAATTTACAAATTTACATCAATCTACAAATTTACATCATTAATTTTAGAAAATTCCTCAAAAGTACAGTACAATCAATGAAGACCGAATTCCAGCTTCTAGTATTGCAAACTGACATTTTTAGAAGCATTGAACGTGCCAAACCTCAATAATACAACAAATATAACTCAGTACTCACTGCAGTGAGTGACAGAGAGCGCATTTTCTCGTCGACAAAAACATGAAGTCACGGACGAACAGACAGACAGACGGACGGACAGACGGACCGACAGTTGGATATGGCGAGCACAATAGCGCATTTTTTCATAAATGAAAAAATGCTCTAAAAAGGCATGCGAGTGAACTCAACCCCAGGCTGCTGAGCTCATGCAATTAAACTCACCCCAGGTAGCCGATCACATTTAGGTTTACTCACTCCAAGTTGTCGAGCACATGTGAGTAAACCGACCCTAAGTTTCCGAGTACATGTAAGTTTGCTCTCCCCAGGTTGCCGAACACATGTGAGTAAACTGACCCTAAGTTTCCGAGTACATGTAAGTTTGCTCACCCCAGGTTGCCGAACACATGTGAGTAAACTGACCCCAGGTTGCCGAGCACAGTGATGAAGTGTTTCTCGCAACACTCTTGGCCCGAGAATGACACGCGTTGGAACACGCAGGCGAGTATTAGGTCCTCACACCTGTTAGACGTATGAATGAAAAAGATCCATTTATTATCAGAATGAACAACCAAACCCAATGAATTTCAATAGGAAAGTTGGTAATACGCTAAATCTTTTTTTTTAATAAAAAAATTAAGTAACGACAGATGTTTGGTCGTAATTTTTAAAATCTAAAGTTAATTCAGAAGAAGTAACTTGGAACATGACCGGTAATTCACATTCCATTGAAATTCAAAATTGACCAATTTATTTAATGGGCCAACATTTTACCCTTATTTATTTTCATTTTAAAGTAAACACTTTACCTGTATGCGAGTTTCCGCCAGATGTCCCTCTCCGTAGTGTTAAGGCGCTTGAGGAGTTCGTGGTAGTCACGGTTGGCTGTGTTAGCGTTGTTGATGAGGTGTTCTGTGAAGGCAACCTTGCCAACCATGACTGAAGACAACAGCGAGGCTTCGTACGAGGAGACGTTGAACTCTACGGGAAGAGCATGACACTTTACGCACATTTCAATAAGTAATTTTAAACTCGTGACGAAATCTATCTATCTAAAAATAATCGTGATGAAATCTATCATTTATCTAATACTCATTGTTAGTGACGCTCAAGCTTTAATTATAAGATAAATGTACATGCATATGTCATTGGAATTTCGTCTCTTTAGGACATTTACTAAATGTTTCATATGAAGTTCACAGAATAATGTAGAAATAAAAGTGTTATGTTCAAAAAATTCATATGTGGTGTTAACATTTAAAAAATCCAATCTTCAACTTCGAATGATACAGTATTCTTCAAGGTTCTGCAGAAAAAATCTATTATATGAACATATAATTTTAAGTTTGGTAAATTGAGATAACTTGATGTCTCCCTTCTCCAACCATTGAATGTTGAAGATGAATTTTGGGGGTTAGGCTGACCACTTAGTTTGAATATCCATAGTGTAATACAATGGATGATAGTGATCATCAATCAATAGATTATGGTATCCAAAAAAATACTACGCTCAACAACTAACTGCAATTGAAACTATAACTTAATATGAATAAATTTTCATGATATTTATGTAACTTGATAATAGTCCAATATTTCAAATGTACTTTATCAAGAATATGTCAAAAATGTCACAAAAAGTATAAAAATGCTCAATTAACAACAAATAAATAAAAATGTTTAGTTTGACATTTGAATATCGAATATGAAAATTTTAAAATATTACCGTACGATATAAATCCTATGCTTATGTTTATTGACAAAAAAATGTCGCTGTATAAAGAAAATAAAATACGTTGAAACACTCAACGGGCATGAGCATCAATAATGCGTCCACTGTCCGGGTAAATAACGCATTCAATCAACGTGTAAATAACGCGTTCACTCACCGTGTAAATAACGCGGTCACTCGCCGTGTAAATAACGCGTTCATCACCGTGCAAATAACACATTCACTCACGGTGTAAATAATGCGTTCGCCCACCGTGTTATTAACGCATTTACTCAACGTGTAAATAACGCGTTCACTCACCGTGTAAATAACGCGTTCACTCAACGTGTAAATAACGGGTTCACTCAACATGGAAATAACTGGTTCTCGCAACGTGTAGATAACGCGTTCACTCAATGTGAAAATAACAGGTTTACTCGCCTTTCAAATGACGCGTTCCTTCACCGTGTATAACATAACATAACATGGTGGTGTCGGCGCTTAAGAGTTGGCCTGATGTGGCCTGTCGCCGATTCTTGTACTTTTCGTGACTTGTCCACAGGAGATCTAAAGTATGTCTTTTGACCGGATCTTTTCACGACTGACGATAGTTTGAAATAGCTATATAGGCTTCGATAGGCTGCAAGGCATTTCAAGTCTGAACATATATTTTTCCATAGCTTTATATAGCGATTCTAGTCTGTTCTTGAACGCGTTCATACTCGGAGCGCCAACGAAATAATCAGGGAGGCTGCTCCACATGTCGGTGACTCGAAGCGAGAAGAAATGTCACGTGGAGAAGTTGCAACGCAGTTTTTTAGTTTATAGCTGTGGCCCTTGGTGTTGGTTCTTGTTTCCAATTCCAGTAATCCTTCTGGGACCTTGTATAAACCATGAGTATACTTGGATACTTCAATGAGGATACTTCAACTTATACTTTCGCGTTCACTCACCTTGCAAATAACGCGTTCACTCAACGTGTAAAAAATACGTTCACTCACTTTGCAAATAACGCGTTCGCTCATCGTATAAAAAATGCATTCACTCACCTTGTAAATAACGCGTTCACTCGCCGTGTAAATAACGCGTTCACTCACCTTGCAAATACCGTGTTCACTCACCGTGTAAATAACGCGTTCTCTCACCGTGTAAATATGCGTTCAATCACCTTGTAAATAACGCGTTCACTCACCGTGTAAATAACGCGTTCACTCACCTTTCAAATACCGTGTTCACTCATCGTGTAAATAACGCGTTCTCTCACCGTGTAAATATGCGTTCACTCACCGTGTAAATAACACGTTTACTCACCATGTAAATAACGCGTTCACTCACCATGTAAATAACGCGTTCACTCACCATGTAAATAACGCGTTCACTCACCATGCAAAGCGCTGTAGTTGAAGAAGCCCGCGTTGCTCATCATGAAGCGTGGTAAGTAGAGACCGTTCCTTGAGTCCCGAATTACCTTCACCTGCGCACCAACTGGCTATGATGCCGGCATTTATAATGTTCCTATTACATAAAATATATTTGTTAACTTTTTTTTTGTGGAACACAATATTTTTTGCGGTGGACCCACAATACTTTCCGGTAGTTTACCTGGACCTGAAATTTTTAATCAATTAGCTAATAGAAGGACATTGCAAAACTGGGCGAAACATGTGGATGAAAATTTTAAATTTTATTTTTAAATTGGTGTGCATAAATGTAATTTGACAAATGAAAAATTCTTTTTTCTGAAATTTAAGACAAGAGTCAACTACAAGCTCTACGATTTCTGTAAAATCAAGGCTTGAAAAGACTTTAATACATTGGTTTAATTACAATTAACAGGATTCAAGATTATGAAAAATTATGATATTGGTATAATAGGATTCTAGAATTGAAGAGATTACCCAGCCCGAGTGATGCTGGGCTAATACCTGGCAGTATTTTATATATATATATTATTCATAATATATTATTTATGTAATGCATCTTCCTCCAGCTATAATTCACAGAAAAACACTTGTTTAATTTTTTAAGGTTCTTCCATATAAAAGTTATAAAGGCCCTCAATCTTACTTATTGAGCATATCAGAATACATACTTGCATGCACATTGCCACGTAAGATAAACGTCATTTCTCATTAAATAATATACGTTTAAAAATCACTTTTTAAAGACAACACTTCCAAAGAATCCAGTGTCTCCAATCTTAAAGATGTACCATGAATTTCTCATTCAATTTTCGAATATTAAAAAAATTAATTTTTCAATTTATTTAATATATAAATTTTTAATATATCATTTTTTTCAAAATTATTTATTCTATTATTTGATTCCTGCATTGCCTCTGACTCCACACAAGTGTGTAAAATTTCAGATCAATCAGACGGATAAAAATCTGCGTCAATATTGCCGTATATAGATGGCAGTAGTATCGTTGGAAAGCTCAGAATGTCAGCTTTAAGATGAGACTAAGCATGTAACTGCAGCACAACTCAAGTAGAAACTATATTCAAAGATTTCAGCAGCTAATTAATTTATATCTAATTTCTTAAAGAACTCTCCCACCCACTTCCCTTTAAAGAGACGTCATTAACGTAAATATTGGCGTACAGCGATGGCAGTGGTACCATTGGAAAGAGCAGAATTGCAGCTTTCAGATGAGCACAAAAACCGAAAAACGCCAAAATTGAAAATTTTAGCCCGGTCGGTCCCCTTAAATTTAGATTACAAGATTTGTAGCAGACAGACAGACAAACAAGAAGTGAAGTTAAAGAGAAGTGTTGTAAAAAATATTTAAAAGCTACCCCAAATTATAAATATTCCCATCACAATGAATATCCAGCAAATTTCTAATCGGGCAGTATCAAGGATACTTATTGCACTGTAACTTCCTTAGCAACTTCCTTTTCCCCGCTGCTTCATGTCTACCATCTACTCTTCTCGTATAGCATATCGGATGTATCAGTATTATTGTATATCAGTATATAATAATTGTATGTCAATATAATTGTATCACAAACACTCACTTCATCTACGTAGTATCCCGGATAAATAACGTTTATTTCTTCTACTTCCGTAAAATATATGATTAATAATTGTATGTATACTCACTTTACTATCGTAGTACCCAGGATGCATCATGTCCCGGATCATGACGAAGCTGACTATGACACCGATGACCGAAAATATCGTCACCATCACGACCAGAGCACCCGTCATCACACGATTCCATTGCCAGAGTTTGTCAGAGTTTCCGTATTCAGACACCGACGTGCGTTTTGTGAACTTAGTCATCAGACTCAATAAAAAAGCGAGCACAGGCTTTCTGATTGGCTGTTGAGTTTCTTGCTGCATCTGAAACAATTTTGATTAAGAATTTATGAACTTTTCTTGTTTATTTTACACGTAAAACTGACATATATTTTAATAAAAAAATTTAAACCGTGTTAAATTGAGCTTATAGTAAGAAAAAAGTAAAAAAAAATTCAAATAAATCACACCGATTATTCATTTGAAATCATTAATACGAACTTAACCGTTTCACTGGAATGAGATGCTGAACGATTTTTAATTTTAAACATAAATGTTGTAAATACGGTCGAGCAAAATTAAAGTATGTCGAGATTTCTTTGGTTAATTTTCAATTCGTTATCATTCCAAATCTATGGATAATGCCTGTTAAAATTAGTTATTAAAGCAATTAATTAATTGACATAATTATTTAGATTATTAATTATTAATAACCAATTACTATTAATTAATCATTTCATAATGCAAATAATTATTTCAATTCTACAAAAATCACGTTCACTTACCGAAAATTTGGAGCCACATTTCCCCGATTTGTCTTGGACTGAGTTCATTTTTGCAGGAAATTCTGGTAGCCACGGGCTAATTTTTATGATATTATTTTTGTTAGCCATTGCATCTTACAATAATTTTGGTAAATCTGTTGAGAATCCAGTAACAAGTAACTGATCAGGACGTAAATAAAAAAATTCACATCTATACTGAAAAAAAAATTCAATTCATCGTGAATGTGAGCTGAGACTGCATTACGGTGCTTCCACTCCTTGCGATAACGAAAACACAAACTCCAGTGACTCCTTCGAACGAAACGAACGGTAGTGTGATTATTGAAATTAAATATCAACTAATAAGCTCACCAATGCTAGTGCAATAACGAGTGTTAATTGTTAGTTGATTTTTTTAGTTATTTAACGAAATTAATGAACGATTTTATTTCTCCCCAGACAAGAATAACATCAATTCTTGTTCCATCAATATCGAATTTCCTACATAGAATCCAA